ATATACATATATACATATATACATATATACATATATAGTGAGCTCCAGTACAACTTTCACTGTAAACTATGAAAATCATCACAGCAGATTTCACAGTGCTGTATATTTTAGAGGAAAGATAAACACCCGTCATCACAGCCTTTGCACTGCTGGCACTGTCCTCTCTGTTTACACACTGCTCTCCTTTTAATAAATCACCCGCTCATGTGTGTCTCTACACACCATCTCTATTATGTCGCGTTGAGCTGAGCCGGCATTGTCCGGACTTTTTTTTTAAGATCTGGGGCGGATCAAATGCATTTCTATGACTGTCCAAACTTTAAAACAGCCCTGTACCCACCTGTTCTGCGAGCTGTGACTTTGAGACCCATCGGCACCGGACAACCAGAGTTCTCCGCCGCTCCAAAGCCCACTTCCCCCACCGCTCTTTTTCCTGCCTGGGTTTGCTGCTGTCCCCCCCGAACCTTGTAACGCCGGATGATAGCTGCTGCCGTTCCTCCTACCGTTATCCACAGTCGGAAACAAGGAAGAAGGAGAGAAGGAGGAGGAGGAGGGGTGGGAAGAGTTTTTTCTCCTCTTAGCTCCCACTGCAGAGTCCTCCGTGTCTTTGGATGGCCGGCTGGCTTTATGCCTGCCGTTACGGGCTTTACCCGGCGCGGAAACTGGGGCGACGGGCCGCGGAGCGTCTCGAATGCTGAACATCCCCGCCACGGATGCAGACTGAGGAAATGTGGCGGGGTGGGAGAGGGAGTTAGAGGGGGCCGAGAGGTGAGAAGAAGCAGCGGAGGAGGGAGAGGGGGTCTGTTGTGAAGTGGCGGGGGAGGTACCAGAGGAGGAGAGGGAGACGAGGCTGCCGGCCGCCAGAGGCACCTTCCTAAAACAGGAGGAGGATATTTCAGAGGATAAGAAATGTACCACTTACGTTGCTTCATTGCTAATATGGATTCAGAGTACTAAACCTGAGGTACCGATCAATATGTTGTGTTTTACTGAACAATGGTCTTCTGTGTTGACATGAAATAGGATTTTCTTGCACCTTTAACATATTTGCCACAGTTGCTCCTCCCATGATTTTATCTCTATAATAAAACTATTCCTTTCCCACACTTTTTTTTACTCATGATTCCTCACACACCTATTTTTAAACTTAAATTTACACAAGAAACTTAAACAAACACTTCCTGCCGTCTCACTAAAGTGTATTTCTCACCTCTCATAAAACAGGATATCAAACACGTCACTTCCTTTCTAGTTACACCTGTTCAGTGACAGAAAATCTAGTGTAATCAAATCACAGTTATAATAAATTCCATGTGTGTCGAGTACATTTAAACATGGACTTTTACGTAAAAAAAAAAAACAGTTTACCTCGAGTGTACGTTCTTGCACACTCACCTCCACATCTGTGCGTTGAGGTGTTTCTCCACCATGTTCTGGAGCGCCAGCCTCATCCTGTCCCATCGCCTGTCGAACACGTAGTGACCCCGGCCCATGAGCCTGCTGCTGAATACGCAGAACTGGAAGGAGAAAGAAGAGGGAGTGTAAAGGGGAATCGGGGGCCAGGCATGGAGAGAGATGTTGATGAAAAGGAGAGAAAGAGGAGAAGGCACGTGAGAAAAGAAATGAGGAAAAGACGAGCGGATGGATGAAGAGGATGGGATGGATGAATGACAAAAGATGTAGAGGACGAAAGACAGTGAGAGGAAGGAAGTGAGAAGTGGGTCGACAGAAAAGGATGTGGAGGGAAAGAGCCATCAAAAGAAACAGAGAGATTGATGGAAAAGATCAGATGACCAAGAAAGAGCAGACGGAAAGCTACCAAGATAAAAACAATATTTGAATTTATTATTTTAAATATTAGAATGTGCAATAGTAGTTAAGACAGGAAATGGATATCCTTCCTGTGATCACTTTTTTGGTCTTGACCCAGATTCTGAACAAAAGCTTCTTTCCCCTTTCTTTTGTGTTGCATTGAAAGCGCTTTATGAGAGCCGAGTCTGAACACCAACAAAACTAAGTCCTTTAAATGGCATCTAAAAACAGACCTCAAACTACTCACCCCTGAAGGCTGCGGGTGGCGATTGGAGTAGTGAAAGGCAGGTCTGACGGTGCCTTCTGGAGTCTCTGCGTCTCCCTCGTCACTGGAAAGTCGACCTCCGTCTCCTGCCGCCGCCGTCCCCGAACTGTGGGGAGAAGGCTCTGGGTTGGGGGCCGGGGCTGCTGCTGCTGCTGCTGGGGGAAGAGGGCCGAAGGTGGAGGTGGTGAGGCCTGGAACCCTGGGAAGGAGAGGTGAGGGGAGCAAGGGGAAAGGGACAGAAATGGAAAGGGGAGACGGAGGGGAATGGAAATGAGGAGAAGAGGAAGGGGGAGAAAATGAAATGGGATGGAGAAGCAAAGAAGAGATTGGTAGAGAGAAGGGACCAAATGGTAAGCAGAGAGCATCTTCTAAATAGAAAGAGGAAATCAGTTTCTTGTAAGACTTTCATGAGGGCAGACAGCTACTGTTTCTCCATTCTAGCACTGTTGTTGTTTACAGCATCCCCTGGTGGGACAAACATGAACAGACAAGGATGTCCCGTGCATCTGTGCGGGTCCAGAACAGTTAAACTCCAGTGATGTGAGAGAGTATGAAAAGTCATATTTAAGTAAGAGTAAAGATTGATTGCTGAAAAAAAGTGAAAATTATAAATCATTGGGTATATTGTGTGTTAAAGTATCCCAAAATGTATTGATGAATAAAAAAAGTGTTTCTAAGTACAGCTTAAACTTAAAAAAAAACGTATAATGCAAAACCAGTTGGAAAACAAATCAATTGTTTGACATTGGTAATAAATATTTTCAAAAAACTTTTTTTTTGGGGGGGATTTATGAGGATTGAAAGTTTTGTACCACGGTTACTTCTTCTCCTCATATGCTAGGAAGATCAGACACATGGATCACATGACTGACAGAACATTTAAAGGGATAGTCCTGATTGGACCAAGGAAGGATCTCATCCATCCTTGGCAGCCTGGATGGTCAGGTTGTTCTACACAGGCATAGTGAATACCGTATGTGTGTGTGTGTGTGTGTGTTTTCTCTGTCCTACCTGGGTATGTGTGCATTTGCCAGCCTGAGCTTCAGCCTGGACAGAGGTCGTCCGTTCGGACAGTGAGGCTTGCTGGGACTTGAGGTCTCTTGTGGCGTGATACTCTGGCTGCCGCCTTCCTTCCCTCCCTGCGATCCGTCCCTGTCTTTCTCCTTCTCCTTCGCTCCCTTGTTGAGCTTCGCCCGCCCCTTGTGTTCGGCCAGGAGGATGTCGAAGTGTTTCGTTCGGCCGGAGACGGCTCGGCGGTGGGTTAAGGAGTGAGTCTGCGGCAGACAAAAAACAAACAAAACAACACAAAAGGTTATTTTACAGAAAGACTTTGTTAATGAAAGTATTGATACGCGGAGCTAATTCAGCAGGGCTGAGGGGTTGCACTCCCAGGGGCTTCAATCGTGGCTCTCTGGTTTCAGGAAAGTTCCCATAATCGCTGCACCATGCTGCTGCCCACGTCACACCACACTAACATGGGTAAATATTGCCTGTTCGTGGTGAGCTAGTCTACCCTTCCGACTACTTTGGAAGGGAACCAGCTATCAAACATTTGGTTTTCCAACAGTCCTCTAAAGGATGCGAGTGTGAGGCTGATGAAATACTGGTTAAATAACAGGTAGTGTGTTTCCTGTACTCATTTAAAGGAAACATGTAGGGTAGAGGCCTCTGAAAATGCTTTAAGACCTGATGGATCATTTCAAATTGAAGACGCTTTTGGTAAACAAGGAGTCATTTTCTTTATCTTGTGGTGAAAACAAACATATAGAACATATGATACAGCACAAGACAAGCCGGAGAACTAGACTCAAAGTAACCGAAAAAAAAGAGTAAGCTACAAAAGGGGCCAGTGGATCAGTGGATGGGTTTTTAAATGGGAAATATGAAGATAAATATACGACTAAATAAATAACATACTGATTAAATCGTTGTTCTCATTGGGACTGCCCGTATTAATGGAGACATCAACATTGAAAAACAACCAAAAAATAATGAAAACACTATCACCCCAGCCAACAATATCAACACACGAGCGCGATACAGCGCTAATTACTTAATAACCAGATTGAAGTGATTAGTAACGCTTGCTAGAAGTAATTAAAGGGCAGTAAAACACGAGTTTTACAGCTGAAAGATGTTGCAGCCTCATCCAACATTTATAATTACCTCATTAAGGGAAGTGTGTGGGCCCTATAATGCCTCCGCACTGCTACCTTTGCGTTGACTGAGGAAGGGGAAGTTCAGACGGAGCACAGAGACGGACGGGGAAGTGCGAGTGATCGTATTTGTGTTACCTTGCAGGTGAGAGACCTCGTGCAGGGTCGCTTTGTTTCGGGGTCCTGGACTCCACAGTGCTTGTTCGGATCAAAGACTCTCCCTGTAAAAACATGTACACCCACACACGCATTAGACTGGCACTTAAGGACATCATTTTTGTCATTTCTTCCCTCCTTCTTTCAAGTATCTAATCATATTTGCTGGGAGTGGGAGCCTCGCAGTACCACAAGTGTATTAATGCGTCTCTTTTAAGAAAGCATTTGGCTCACTGACATTTGTCTCTTCACATATTCCTTTGATCATTCAGACATTCAGCTGTGTTTTAAGGCTCCTGTTGTCCAATAGTACGATTCTGTGTTACCCTATTAGAAGTGTTTCCAGTTTTCCCAGCGGCTAAACTGGAAAGATCCCCGCAAGCTGTAACAAATCATGGTTGACAGGACAGACTGGCAGTGGAACCAGAGTCAACTGTGACTGACAGCCCCGGGAAACTCTCTCCTGCTTTAATGAGTAGCGAATTTGATTTCGTTTGATGACGAAATGCAGCCATTCACTTTTATGTGCCGGTTTGCAGCCAAAGTCTCTGATGTCCATCGTAAAGATCTGCTCCTCGGGCAAAATGTTTAGAAGATCCTGGAACATTCTCAAGATCAACTTACAACCTCAGTCAGCTTCTTACGGAGAGCCATGGGATTTGGTAAAACAACAACAACAACCTCCAGTCAGCAGGTTATCTTAAATAGTGTTGCTGTCAGAGGGCTGTAATCTAGTGTCGACCTTACCCATAATCCCTGTAATCGGTGTAGACCGACAAACACACACACCCACACACACACGCATGTGCGTCAGCGACGTACAAGCACTCTCAGAAATAAACAAACTCACATGCTCACAACCTTAAAAAAAGGAAGTTGAGATGGGTTAGTGTGAACACGGACTGAAGGAAGACAATGAAAAAAGCAGAAGAGCAAGACGGAGAGAAAACACCAACAGAGAGGAGAAAACGGGAGTGTGTGAAAGAACAAAAAATGAGGCCAGACCGTGTGTGTGTGTGTGTGTGTGCAAGAGAGGCACGATGGAGGTCGAGGCAGGAGGTGGAGAGTGAGAGGATGAAAAAAAATATAGAGACACAGGAGGTGGGGGAAATCGCTCAAGAAGACGAGCAGCTTTTTTGGCAGTGGGAGCTCGTGAATTAGACGCTGTAAATCAGAGGAGCGGAGCACGAAGGAAGAGGGAAGATGAGGGGAGAAGAGGATAGCTGGACATAGTCATGACAACAACCAGAAGTGTCCATCAAAACCTTTTAACTTCATCACTGTGCATGTTTTTACCTCTCTTACTTTGAGATGACCACGAGAATAAGTGAGAAAGATAGAGAGAATAGTGAGGGGATGGAGAAGAGAGCCTTTAGGATGGCGTCACCCTTTCTAAAACAGATAGTGTAACCCCATCACTGTCTGCAGCCAAACATTCACAGGAGTGTTTGTAGCCTCAGTTTTGAGACGTATAGGTTGATGAAACCCCAGCCATGAATATGCAGACATTAAAAATGATTCAACCATTTAACCCTCAGGACCTCAATCAGTTTCGGGGAGTTTTTTGCTTCTGTGTGCTTTGTTTTTTACTGCAGAATATAAGTTCTGCACCTCTATGGAAACGACACAATCATGGCTAGAAGAGGAGAGAACTTAAAAATGGCTTTTGTGCAGTATAACACAGTTATTATGACATCAATCAAAAAAATAAAATAAAAAGTTAAAGTTATATGTTTGCAAGTGTTATTAATGTTGGAAAAAAAAGGATGAAAATCTGACAATAATAACGTTTGTTACAGCTTCTGGTTCTGACAGACGGTGTAGTTTTGGTGATTGTTGAAAGAAAACATGCTTTTCGATCCCGCCGGCAGGTTGTGGGGTTCAGAGGGTTAATGTTCTTCAACACACATTTCGACTCCAACTGCACCCATTGGTCAGGAATGTGTATTCACTGTTGTGCTGAAGATAACATGAGAGTCACTGTGAAACATGATGCATGCATGCACAAGGATGTCATCTGGATCAATGCAGAAATATAATCGGAGAGGCTGACCTGAAAGTCTTCTCTGCGACCTGGAGGAAGTCTTAGTCCCGTTTTGCTGCTTCTTCTCCAATGGCGACGACGACGGCGGCAGCAGAGCGGCGTGTCGGTGAGAGGGGGAAGGCGACGGGGAGGGTTTCCGGTCCAGCGTGGAGGGAGAAGGAGTTGACGGCAGCCGCCGGTCCACCGGAGAGCGTGCCGGACTGGGCCGCCGGTCCAGAGAGGATGGAGAGGTGGTGGAGCGCGGTGTGGTCGGCCCGCCGGTGCCGCGGCCGTTCATGAGCTTCTCGCCGGACCGTTGGGAGGCCGGGGGAGTGAGGGAGGGAGGTTTAAGGGAGGAGGGAGAGGAGAAGGTGGTGAGGCGCACATGTGATGCAGAGTCGGCATGGCTGAGGCAGGCCATCTTTTCCAGGCTCACAACAGGAAGCGATACACTGCAGAGGGGAAGAGTGGAGTTAAAACACTGTACGACTCAATGTTCTGGAATCAGCAAAAGCAGCAGTTTATTAAAAATAAAATGTGGCGGGAATATGTGTAAGAAAGTCATCATATTCAAAAAAAGAGAAGTATGTGCCCACCACGGCTTGATCCGGGCCCCCTTTGGTGGGTAGACCGCAAGAGGGGCCTTACTGAAGCGTGAGTGAGGGAAATCTTTAGGGACCCTGAATGTCAGCGTGTCCCCAGGACCGGGGGCCACAGCGGGGGCCACCGCAGGTGCTTTGGGCTTCATGGGGACCAGGAGGCTCCTGGAGGGAGCGGGGGAGCCGTGGTGCTTCTCTGGAACAGGTCGAGACAGAGACAAAGTGTGTGAGGTCACATATCTGTGTGAGAGCTGAAGACACACTCCTACTATCAAGACCATGCTAGTGGGTACTGTTTGGATCTGGTTTTCACCAGGCTAGAAGTTATTAGTGTGGTGTAGCATTTACAACATCTTTTTCTACCCGGTTTAGGTGCCAGATGGCCGTGTTGTGACACAGGAGAGACGAATCTGTGCCACATTTGTGTTTTCCACAAAGAAAAGAAGCGTCTACAAATCAATTTAAAGTACTGTTCTCTAATTAGCAACATGCCTGACACCATCTGAAGTGTCCTTGTCTGATTAACTCCACCAGTTTGTTATTATGTGCAGCTCGAACAAAACAAGAGCCAACAATTATAAATACTTTTGACCCAGATCTGATCAGAATGCACAAGTGAAAGGGTGCTGAGACACAGAAAGAGAGGGGAGTAAATAACAAGGCTGTGGGGGGTGGGGGGGGGAGCTCACACTTACGGTTTTTGCTATGCATGTCTTTGTGGGAGGAGGGTGGGGAGGGAGGACTGTTTGTCTCTCTCTGACTGCCTCACAGGGAAACTACACCCCAGCTACCTGAGTGAAAGCAGAGGGGTGAACATGTCATAAAACACAAGAGAAAGGAGGCGAGAACACACCGCACACACAGTAACGCAGTGTCTTGAGTCGGTGTATTTCAAAATATACGTAACATTTAGCTCTAAAATGTCAGTATGTTCATAATTCAAAACAAAGTTATGTAAATCTAGCAGCTGCTTCAGGAAGTAAATAACCAACATCTGCCAGATCGACCAAGATTAATTTGACAGATAGATACGTTTTTTTTTTGTTTTTTTTAAAGAGACCAGCCCGTGTGTTTAGCTGAATTTCCTGTCTGCTGATAAGATGCAAATCTAAAACTGAAGAGAGCAGTGACATGATGAGAGCCGCTCAGGTAGAATATGGAACTGCTAAATGTCACTCTGAAGCTTTGGTAGCTATTTAAAATACTTGACAGAGAGTAGAAGTAGAAGCCAAGGTCAAGCTAAAACAACTCACTAATACAACTGTATTCTCATGCGCGC